GATTTTTTATTTCAATTTGCTGGAAATTTTTTATTTCAACTCTTAAAAGAGATTGTAATTTTTACGTTCTCTCAAAACTTTTAATAATTTATAGGGCACAAATTATCTTCATCTCGCCATTAAACATGTTTGGTTTTTTTTGTGCCTGCAATGTTTGTATAAAATAAATGATTTTTTTTTCGTCGATCATTTTATTCAAATAACTCCAGAGGTATATCTTCGCCTTTTGCAGCCCTGAGGTACAAAGCTGTATCTGAGATTGGTCTAGTGATAATTTTCCAAAAGTTCTCTGCAGTTTCCATTTTGTGTGAATCTCTGTAAGTGTGGCAGCTAACCATGCATTCAGGTCCGTAGAAAGATGGTATCCAGTGGGATGGTTCCACAGATAAATTTCTGCCTGATGCAGTGTGCTGTATGATTACTCTGGTATTTGGAGCAAAGGTTGTACCGATAGTTTCATAACGTTTTTGTGGATTCCAATGGAGAAATTTGAACCTGAAATGATAATATCTAATATTTTCCGGGATATGTATCTAAATGAAAAATAATATACGAGCGTAACTATGGCAACTGAATAGGTACATGGATTTAAAACAATATAACAGAACTGATACATGAAAACCATAATTTTCTGTGATAACCTTCCTTAACGAAAGATATCAAATTGTTGATCTAGGAAATACCAAAAGTGAAAAAAAGAAAAATATCAAGAGGAGTGCCACAAGGGTCAATATTGGGGCCACTTCTGTTTCTTCTATATCAACGACCTGGCTCACGTGATAAATTCGTCAGACATAGAAACTATATTGTATGCAGATGATGCAACCTTGAGCAAAAAAATAGATAAAATAGATGATCCTCATATACTGAAATATTAGAGAAAGCTCATCATGGTTCACACCAAATGACTTGATTCTCAATGAACAAAAAACAGAAACTCTAACTTTTGAAACAGTTTGCTTAAATCGAGATAACAAAAATTCTATCAAATTTTTGGGAGTACAAATAGATTCCAACCTGAAATGGATAGACCATATAAATAGCATGTGTAGTAAACTTACGAGACAGTTTTTGCTATCGGAAGAATTAAAAAAAGATTAAATCAAAGTGCAGCACTTGCAACATATCATTCACTTTTTCATTCAGTCCTTAGGTATTGTATAATCAATTGGAATAATGCATCAAAGGTACATCTTAATAGAATATTTGTACTCGGTCCGAGTACCGATCCCTGAGGAACTCCTGATTTGACAGGAGAATAATCCGAACACTTTCCGGAAATTTTCACAATTTGTTTCCTGTCACTAAGATATGATTCAAACCATTTGTAGACAATTCCCCTGAATCCATAATGATGCAGTTTACTCAGCAGTACTCTGTGATTCACGCAATCAAATGCTTTTGAAAAATCACAGAATACCGCTGCAACTACCTCGCCGTGATTCAGGCTGAGATAGACATTTTCAAGAAAAGAAAATATAGCGTCAGTAGTGCTTTTCGAATTTTGAAAACCGAATTGACATTGCGACAATATGTTATATTTCTGTAAGAACTTCATCATTCTCTGTTTAACGAGTTTTTCTATGATCTTCGATAGTGTAGATAAAAGGGAAATTGGACGGTAATTTGATGGATCGTCATTTGCACCACCTTTGTGAAGTGGGATTACTAATGCTTCTTTCAAAAAGGATGGAAAAATCCCCAATTCGAAGGACTTATTTATACATTCTGCCAGGATATGTAGTGCAGTATCAGGTAAACTTTCGAATATATTCACGGAGATTTCATCTATTCCTCCCGATTTCTTATTTTTTAATTGTTTGAATGTTTCTCTCAGTTCGTGAATATCAGTTGGCCCCATGAAAAAGTTATATGGAAGTTCATTTTGAAGGTAATTTAAAGGATCAG